CAGACATCTGCTCCCTCTCGCACCACCTGTACACAGTATTGAGGGCTTCTTGTAGGCCGTTTGAGATCGTCGCTTCAAATTTCCCTCTTACTATTAGGACGAGATCATCTGCATAGCATTGGAAATCCACCCCCTGCATGGAGAGATCGCTCAGCAGAGAGTCAACCAAAAATGACCACATAAGGGGGGAAAGTACCCCGCCCTGTGGACAACCTTTTGCCGCTCTAAACCTGATCGACCCTCCATGCAGTGATGATATGACGTACCGATTTCCAATCATGGTTTTGATCCAGTTGCATATTTGCCTGCTGATTCCTCTACCTTGCATTGCCATGTAGAGTGATTGTGGTAGGGCGTTATTGAACGCTCCTTCAAACAAAAAGGGAAATGAACGCGCACTTCACATGTATGACGGTTACAACGGTTCAACAATTGTGATTTCGCTTATTTCACACTAGTTTGTCATTAGTTTTGGGGCTGACATCACTACAGATCGCATTCTTTTTCACTTTTGTTCTCGGTCGAGGGTGCCCGTGTTCAATGACTGTCAAGATTAATGTTCAATGGTTTCGATCCTCCAAATCGATAGGATATTGTTGTGTTGTTGAAGTTGTGCGATGTAGCCATATTTTGTTATAGTGCTTGCTGTGAACGAACCTAATATTACATAGATGGTGTATCTATACATGGACTGTAACTTGTAACTACGATGGCCATCCTGGGTAACCTATCTATGGCGAAAGCCCAGAAGTATCTATTTTTTAATTTGTTCTGATATTAATGGTGAATTCAGTTGAAAATATGTTTCCCTCATTGTTACTCGAGTAGTGGAGATTATGTCCTCATATGTTTCAGGTATTGGTATGTTTTCAAATAATCGGGTTGAAATCTCATATTATTTTTTTTATAAAGAACATAAGGAGCTCTAAGTTCAAATATGATGTTCAATACACTTGAACCAAGTCCTAAAGAAAATTTGTGAATAATTTTGTTCTAAAGATTCTGTTGTCAATTTCACAATTTCTTTTTCAGTATCACGTTACTCTTACAATTACACTTTGAAAAAAAATAACTTAGGATCATGAAAAGTAAGTGTGGAGGATATTTATTTTCATTGCGCATCAATTCAAAGCACGGTTTGATAATGCATACCATCGAACAATGTTAATTAGATAACCTGTTTGAGGAATATACTGGAGTAGACAAATATCATGATAACTGTTGAAAATGAGCTATATTACCATATGATGTCAAAATGTCAGGTTTCATTTAGATATCAGCTAACTATACTGAAATAAGACAGATGACCGCGTTACCTCAAGATGGTTGCGCCAGTAATAAAAACAGGCTGGTGAACAAATTCAAAATGAGAATAAACACGATCAAATTGGAAAAAATCATTTTCTTATTCAGAATCAACAGTTCGAAATTGGGAATTAACACTATCAAGTTGAGTAAAACAGTCAACATGAAAATAAACTCTTTCAAATTGGGACCAAACAACTTCATATCGGAAAACGAAAACTGCAAATTCGAAGTGTCAAAATCAAGATAAAATAATAGTGATCATTCATCGTTCCTGAAAGTCAATTGAGTTGATATGCCTAATATTACAAAAAAGGATGCAGACAATAATGAAAAACAATTTCTGCAGTTTTTAATAATAATGGTGATTGAAGGGGACTGGCGGATATACCCGGCGTGATAAAATCAACGACCTATCGATAGGTGAGTGTATTGAGGGAAATCCTAGACTCACATTGAAAGAACTGAAACACAAATTCGAGGAAAACCATCAAACTATTGTTTCAAATGAGTGTTCACGAAAACATTTAGATTTTTTGTTGTATACACTGCAAGATATTCGTAAAGAACCCGAGAGAACCAATTGCGAAGAAAATAAAATAAGACGTCGTGATTATGTACAACAGCTTTTGATTCATCAAGGGGATATTCCAATTATATACATGGATGAAACCAATATTATTTTATGTATCGAAGATAAGGACGCTCTGAAGAAGGAACCCGTTGCGGTTACATTTCAGCTGATTGATGTGCGGCAAATATCCATGTCATAGGCTGCAGAGGTAATATGGGATTGATTCACCACGAAATAAAAAGAGGTGCTTTCAGAAAGCAAGATGCCCAAGAATTCATTCGCAAGTGCTTGCTTTCTGCTGAGGATATGTACCAGACGCCTGTAGTGCTAGTGGTGAATTATGCTCCTTGCCATACTGACTTAAAAGAGGTATTTCGTGAGAAAGAGTTTGCAGATCACCGATTATTGGGGGTGAGTCCGTATCGTCCAATGTTCAATCCTATTGAACTAGCGTGGTCCAGTTTGAAAGCTGCTGTTTAGCGAGATTTATCTATGCAGTTGCCGTAAATTTCAGTTGGGGAAATATAACTCAAACTGAGTATCGTCTTCGTCAATTGGTGAACATTAAACATGGAAACATTATTACAATTGATATTAATAATTCCGCTAGATATGTTTTTTTTTATCGCTTGGAGCGCACGAAAGGGAATCCCTATAATGTTCAAAGATTCATTCCTGTTGGTTTGAATTTGATCAATATATGGTCATGTGAATTATTCATATTCTCCTATCAAAATGTATTTATGAGAGTCGTTTCTCAATCAATATCCTGTTAGTTATGGAATATGATTATTCAACATATGTGGAAATACAAATTCGACAACTGTGTTTTTATAGCTTTTCTGTTTGGTATTAACAGGCTCGCTACCGAATCAATTCCATATATCGTTACTTTCCAATTTGAAATTGATGAATTTCAACTTGAATTTGTCTAGTAACACTTTCTATTTGTTGAAACAGTGCATGACCATCTTGTCCCAATTTGAATTAGGTTATTTTCATTTTGAAAGTGATTAGTCTCAATTTGAATTTGTTCATATTCAATTTGGATATGTTGAATCCATGCTGAATCATTTCGTCCCATTTCGAATATGATTATTCCCATTTTGAGAATAATGGGTCTCACTTTGAAGTTGAAAAGGTATAGAACAATAATTGATAGTTATTCAGCAGTATTGTTCATACAAGTTTGCAAATTGATAATGCTGCTATAACTACAAGCCACCTCAAAATTCACTTCATCTATGGTAGTAAATGAACACATCTGTCCTCTATTAATTGAAGATATCGTTATAACGGTTATCAGATTTCCAATTATGATAACTCAAGTTTTCTCTCAGTGTACTTGTGAATCTATCGTGTTCTCGGTTGTCATTCATCCTGCGAACTGTCAACTTTGATGCGTGCATTTCAATTTAAGATATAGGTAAATGTATCAATATGAATTCCGATCACGGAAGTGAAGAGTCAAATATAGAAGTTGCGACAGATGAATCAATTTTAACTTCAGTACCCGCTATATTATTGAAAAATAAGTTCTTTTTTTATCGTACTAGTGCTGTGAAGTAACACTTCACCGCACTAGTGTGGTAAAGTATCTCATTACGAAATTGAAATTACTTTCGTAATTTTTTACATCACATATTGATAGTAGGTAAATGATGTTATGAAGCCAAATGTTTGATATTGTGAAAGAAAGTTGATTTCATCGCTAATGAAGGGTGTACCTAGAGCAGTGGGACAGGTAAATATCTTCTGATCCAATAAGAATTTTCAGAATATTATAATTCCACATCATATCGCGTTATAAGTGCTAACTTCAGGAATGACTATATTTTATACGAGGGGCGCAAGAAAGGCTCACAAAATCGAACATCAGTTTTTTCAAATGGAACACTCTGTATTTCATTGCATTTTCATATTCTCCTTGGAGAGCTGAATTCAACGACCTAGCACACTTGGGGTCTAGCGGGAATGATTTCCGAGATATAGGGTGTGGAAAATCGAGATTTTTCTTTTTTGGGAATTTTTTGTGTCAAAACTATTCAATATTGGTCGAAACGGCTTACATGTCCATATCTCAACTTTTGATTTACTATTTACTCATATTTAATTGAAACAAATACAGGCTGGTGTAGAATTCTCAGTTTCAGTCAAAATATAGTCATTCCTGAAGTTAGCACTCATAATGCGATATGATGTAAAATTATAATATTTTGAAAATTCCTATTGGTTCAGGAGATATTCAACTATCCCACTGGTCTAGGGACACCCTGTACAATGCACTTAATATAAAATAAAGATGTCAGTTTGTGAATTCTGTATCCAGGAAATATTTTGGAATGATTCGAGTTCATGTTCAATATTGTTATGAAATGTTATAGGTGCATTGGATTGATAATATCACCTATGTGTCAGTGTCAAACATTGGGCTATATAACATCTCTTCTTTTCGCAAGAGGGCGCTAAAATTGAGAGGTACCTCACTTATAGTCATATCATCGATTTCTTCATCAAATCAACTTTTCGATAACTAGCCAACAATGGTTTTTCGAAATAAACATTCTCCCCGAAGTTATTCAGTCTATTTCGTTTTCACTCACCCACTCTGTATATGCAGATCAATATCAATATGAAGGAGTGTAGAAATGATGATATTGTTTTTTAATCATATCGTAGTTGTCCCAGTTATTATAAAAATGAAAATCAAATAGAACCAAGATATTTTGTTAAGATTAGTTCATTTCCAACATATTATGTTCCAAAGGAATAAACTGAAAAGAAAATACCCCAACCTCACCAAATCTCGCAGATACTGAAGATATCCAAATTTCACAATGAGATACAGGTTTCCTTCAAATGCCAAATAGGTACAGGGGAATATTGAGTAAGTCCAAACCAGCTGAATTCAGAAAATCGTGGGGATTTCATTCTAATGAATTTGTATGTTGGCCAAAATTATCAATAGTAGAACATGCCAGTATAAATCTTCAGAAACAGTTTCTCATATTCTGAATATACTTATCGAGCTGGTACATTTTCTCTCAATATAAATATGGAATGCGTATGGACAAGTTTTTGTCGATATTTGAAATTATTCTTAAATTTCATGTATACTCACTCTATCAATGCCTGGCAAAATTTGGTGGGACCATACTTTTGGGAATTGATGTTTTGTCCTAACGTGATTTCTACAACATATCACATTGGAATTGATTATATTTGAATGATTGTCAAATTTACCTCCCATGATATCTATACTGCAGTTAATAATGACGTTGTGGATATTGAATGATTTTTTGTCAACATAATCCTCTAGTATTTTCATGCAAATGTTCGTTTGGTTTTGGATAATATGAATCGTACTTGCAACAAACTTCAAATCGAATAGAGGTTGAATCAGCCTGCGATGAATTTTGTATTTCGTTTTCGCTCCTGAAAATAGGATAACATAAGTGGCATTATATCGTTTTGCACTAACTGAATAATTCCACTTGCACTGAATGTGATAGAAGTTTTGTAAAAGAACTAACACATCTTCATTGATTCTGTTCAGTTCTAGTGAAATAGTTCAGTTAGTTCCGATTGGAAGAATATAACTATTAGTGCCGTGTAAACAGAGCTAGAAGGTTGCAATTCATCGGTGCATGATGCATGATGGTTGTGATGGAATGGAAACATGAACATGAGTATTATCGAGTGAAATGAGACACCTGGAAGAACGACATGATAACATTATCTAACACACCATGTTCAATTTTCATTTCATGAACAGTCATCAAGTTTACACAAATCGTTAGTAGAATTCAGCTGATTTCTCAAAGACAGCTTGAATCTGATCTAAACAAAATCAGATGAACAGAACTAAATGGTTTCAATGGAGAGGAAACAATGCTTCAATTCTTCAAATAAAGTCAATACTTACGAAGAAAATTTATTGAATTAGTAAAATCATTAGACACCACTCAACCAAATTGATGACATCACCAGAAAAAAAAACACAAACTGAAATTGCATTTTACAACGCTTTCTTGCTAGTTCATGAATGTTATTCATCAATTAGGGAAATGCAAGACCACTGTGTATTTGGGTTATAGGCACAGCAGCTCTGTTGTTTGAGAGCAAGCTGTGAATTCGGGAAGTTGAGTTTTTTCAGGGACCTTCTTTGCCAGACGCCAATCAGTTTTCAATGGTAGGAAAGCTGAGATAATTGAATACTGCAGATATAATTTGAGGGTCTAATGAAACCGCCAAAAGCGGTACCATATATAATTATTCAGTTGGTTTGAAGAAGGTTTTTGTGAAACACAATTTCCAAGAATACTTTCAGTAACAACTTATTTTTATTTGGCAGAAAAAAAAAAAGATATCTCAAAGTATTCCCTTTCTATATAAACCTATATTTCTAGGTCACCGAACAGACTGAATCTACTCATCATGTTTGAGTTCAGTGGTATTTCAAATATGAATTCAGAATATGTAGTCACGAGTTGTAAAACTTGATCGATAGTTAAACTTGGTGCTGCGCACTTGATCATTAGGAACAAATTAGTAATGAAAATTGATCCGACATGTATCTGCGGAGTATGTGATTCTGCTCTGTCCTTCACTGCCAGAAAACTCTAACTACAAAATTTCGGGCTGGCACAGTTAAGAATAGGTTTCCTGGAGCTTCCTAGTCACCCTTCGCCATTGTCGATGGACCAAGAGTGGGATCAAGAGAACAGCAAAAAAATGAGAAGTTAGGCTCGAACAGCCCACTTCGATGTTCGTGACCATCTTGCCAACTCTCAGTAAAAAAGAAGGAAATCAACGAGTCCCAAGAGTTTCCTGCTCACTCGGAAAAAATAATTCACTGCGCAAGTACAGTTAGAATCTTAAGGAGCTACCAAATACTACAACAGAGGATACTGAAATACCTAGATCATCTAAGGAGAATGTCGAATCGGGCTAATAGGACTTTGCTAATTTTTGAAGAATTATTAAGTTAGATCTGACGCAGAACTAAAGTAACATCGGTCTAACCACAATGTTGCTAGTAGGCCGAAAATAAAAGAAGAACGAAATAAATTCACAAAAGCTATGATGGAAACGAAATGACCCAATACTCTACATAACCATTTGGAGTGTCAGACTGGAATAAGGATGGAAACAATCACAACTATATCGGAAATAAATTTCGGTGGATCCATAACTTCATCAAAAACAGCAAGTATATCAATCTACAACAGGTTTGTGAAACTGTTCACTTGAATTTTCATCCATTCACTCAGTCAACAACACTAGAATGTGATCTGCCTCTTATTACAGCTATGATGAAGGACAGATCAACACCACTGCTATGGACACCTGTATACAATCCTGAAAGTAGTACTTTCAAGTTACACCGGGAAGACAACAGAATCTTCAAATTTAGCTAAGTGGTCCAACGCCAACAGGCTATTCAATCCACACGCCATAACAAACTATGAAGTGGTGCAGTTACCAGTAGGTATTACCGCACTTCAGACCGACCAAGATGGCGGCGCCTAGGGAAGGCGGAGTCTTAGGTGGGGAAGGGGGAATGGGGTGGGGCTTCAAAGGGGTGGGACTTTGAGAGGGGGAATTGTGGGCGAGGTCTAGCAAGGGCGGAGTTATAGAGGGGTTGGTGGGGCGGTGCTCGGACCGGATTGAACGTTTGCGGGGCCATTATTCTGGCATTGAAATGATTGGTTGTGGGGTGGTAATGAAACATGGTGCCATCTTGGATGCTATTACAGGTTTACGATGATGGGGTGTGATATTGGGTACCTGTTTACTCCATCATCCTGTGGGTGTGGTTTGCAGTGTAGGTATACCAACATAATTGGAGAAGGTGTCTGAACTCTTACGGTGCGACTGCCATGGAGTTGGGGGTGTCGGTGGTGACTAATGGTTGAAGGCATCTGGATGATTGCACGTTCGGGATGTTTGGGGAGGACGTATACTTGAGGTAGGAAGTTGATTTATCGCGTGTCTGTACCTATTTTACAGCTGTGTATCGAAAATGGTTTGATGTTAAAAGGTGGAGCCACATCCTAATCATAATAATATATATTAGGGACATAGATTGGCAAGGCCCCCTCATTTTTGTGTGTAAACCATATTGGTTATGTTTTCTTATTGAAAAAAAAATGAAAGATTTTTTTCGGAGAGTGATCACTCACCTGTGTTGTAGTCGTCAATTCAACATAAGCAGTAACAGCAAGGTGAGTATTCCACTTGGCGGCGGCGGCTGTGGTGCACTGTAGTTAGCTAGGTATACATACATCTGATTCTAAAATCACACTTTTTGGTGTTCAGGCGTCTGGCATTGCTTCTCTCTGCTAGATACGTCTGTTTCATCAACAGCAGCACAATCAGCATATTTTTCTCGCATGTGTATGTCACTGTCACTATGTCAATTACCTTCATTCATCACCTTTCCACACACCTTCCTCCCTCGCACTCTTCCTACCTCCCTCCTACCCTATTTTCTCTCAACCAACCTCCCTCCCACCCTTCCTCACGAACAATGAGGACAAAACATCTGCATCTATCTATATCGGAAACAAAGTAATGTACAACACTCACCTAATTTTTTCGGCATACTCTTACAGAGACGTGTCAATTAAATTCAGACCTGCGTAAACAATACATATACCAAAGTGGAAGAAATCAAAAACAACAATGAAAATTCCAAAAATATCACTGCACATAACGACGTAACCTTGTCGACCGACTGACGTAGACTGGCCTAATCAACTCGGCTACATCGGATTTGAGCAGTTTAGGAATGGAATGCTCGCACACTCCTTAGGGACAAGTCGAACATTCACGAGAGACATAAACACATACACGATGATGATGTCTCTTATCTGCCGATCCTTCCACCTCTTTCACCACTCCTCTGCCACATGCCACTCCTACTACCTGCAACTCCTGCCATCTACCTGTCCTGCTGCGTGACACCTGCTTCCCCACTCCTGCTCTGCCCTTTCTGCTATCTGCCGCACCTGCTACCTGCCACTGCTGCTACCCTTTTCCTATCCTCCCTAGGAACGCACGATGTTCTTTGAACATTATAAGGATCTCATTACGTGCGCTCCAAGCGATACAAAAAAAAACCTGTCGCATATGCTACTCCTGCCGGCGGCCTCGCCTGACATCTGCCACTCCGGCAGTCCTACCCCTTGCTATCTGTTAATCCATCTCTTCCACTCCTGCTATCTGGCACGTAGGTACATAATCTCATATTATATTATCATGTGAAGAATAAAAAAAAAACGGATATCACCTCACGAGACGCTGGTTGGATGACCGACTATCCTGAACTGACGTAAAGAAATTACCTACTTCAACTCTCTGCATCTGACTTGATCTGTTGAGGACCGGAATGTGGAATGCAGGTTTTATACACAAAAATTCAATTGGGTGATGGGGAGGTGAAACGCCGAGTCAAATATCGACGAGTAGAAATATTCAACTATACCTGCCTCTCCTGCCATCTGCTTCTTCTACTATCTGCCACCCCTGCCCTCACTACTGCCCTCACTACTGCTATATATGCCACTCCTGTCGCATCTACCACACCTGAAACTGATCGATTCTGCTATTCTGACGCCAATAGGCAAAATTTTCAGTTTCGTTGGTATTTATATATATATATAAATGAAGAATACAAAATGGCTTGATCTTTATATCACATTCTTTATTAACATAGTTGGCAATTATACATCGATGATGAAGTGAATAAATATCAATAAAATTAAACAAAAGGTATGGTAAACAAAATAGAACACAATATCAACAAATGACTATCCATAAAAAAATAATATGTCATAATTGAAAAATAAAAATAAAACATGCAAAGCTCTCTATTGGTATATAGAAAAGTATCATGAATAAGAAATAATGGAATCTTTAAATTAGATGCCTTATGAAGATAGTGGGTGGGTACATAATGTACATACCTAATATATAGTTTTGTCATGCACTTATATGTAAATTCTTCCATTAGTATGTTTTTAGTGGATGAATATCAATAAAATTGAACAGAAATTATGCTACACAAAATATAACATGAATTCAACGAATCATTATTCACAAAAATACATCTGTCATAATTATAATATTAACCATCAGTTATTTCAAGATCTTATCAGTTTTTAATTTTCTTGAATCCATATGGGACAGAACGACCATCAGCGAAAAATCGTCTTTTTGTAGAATTGGGGCGATACATCTTTGTTTCTTCTCGCGTCACCACTTCATGTTCTTTCGTGCGTCGAATATTCCTCGAAACTATGGGGATTGGATCGGACTGTGTCAAAATCATTTGTTTTATACAGTCAAAATTGATTATTCTAGAGGTTTCATAATTCAATGATATCCCTTTGACCTTGCATATGATTTTTTCTGAATTTTCGTTAGTGGAC